GTTGATGTTACTTCCACTAGAAACCAATGGATCCTCTCTCTCATCTGCTTCTTCCATCACATTCTCTTTATATGCTCTTCATCTTTTATGCTCCTCCTCCTCTTCACGGAAATAAATCTGATGAAATCCTGCACATGTGCATCCAAACACTCCTTCCTCCTCCTCTTCATCCTCCTCCTCTTCCTCCTCCTCCTCCTGGTGTTAAAGTGCTGATGAGGCTGGTGTGTGACTACGGACGAGCTCCACAGATGTTCCTGCTGTGATTGATTGCTTCATTTATTGTCTGAGGGCTCGATGTAATAAAGTCATTAGCACAGTCCCTGGGTACTGTGTGTGTGTGTGTGTGTGTGTGTGTGTGTGTGTGTGTGTGTCTCACAGCTGATTGATGGCAGCTTTCTTCTCTCGGGGGGGCGGTCACTGACATGTCTCCGTCCTCTCTCTCGAACTGAACTCGTTGTTCGTCACGTTGAGGTTTTGTCACGTGTTTGAATTCCGACGCTCGAGTTCTTCAGCTCGAGAGCAACAGTCGATCAAACTCCAGCCGGGGATGAACCCAGAAACCGATGGCGTCCAGGTCGGACTCAGTTTATTACCCAGAGCGGAGTTAGCTGTTAGCTTGTCTCTAAGTGCGTCTCTGGAGGGAAGTTCAATGGACAACATCCAGAAACATCCAGACGTGATCACAGCAGCAGAGAAATAATCAGAAAGACTGAAGAACAGATTAGTGGAGATATTGACTGAGAGTCGGGTTTTAATTAACGTGCAGATGAAGGTGTGAAGTGCTGGAGATAGAAAACGTCCAGATATCTTCAGTGCATTTGAATATTAGATGAGAAGCTGAGTCCCAGTTTAAAATCTTATATTCATATATATTCAAATGTTCTGTTGTCGAGTGTTAACGACCGTTTGTTTTTGTCTTTAACAGGTTCTCGACTCCACAGAGGATTTCAAGAGTCTCCATCAATGTCAACAACTTTGACATCAACTCAGCAACGAGACTGATAACAACAAGTAACAACCACAAACCAACAACCACAACCACAAACACACAAACCAACAACCACAAACACACAAACCAACAANAACAACCACAAACACACAAACCAACAACCACAAACACACAAACCAACAACCATAAACTGATTCTTCATCCTGTCTGACGTCTCTTCATCATCTCGTCAGCTGTTGATCCTGAATGAAAATGTCCACGATGGACGTGTGGAAGATTTATAATGACTCAGAAACTCTAGAACTGAAAATCTGAACATCTAACAAAACCAGAAGGACCTGGTCTATAGAGACCTGGTCTATCAGGACCTGGTCTATAGAGACCTGGTCTAATAGGACCTGGTCTATAGAGACCTGGTCTATCAGGACCTGGTCTATCAGGACTTGGACCCAGGGACCTTAATGAGTCAGAATGTGGCTCTAATCAGCTTCATGACCTGAAACAAGATTTAGTTTTTCTTCTTCTTTGTCTTCTTCTGAAGGACCCTCAGCTGGACCCTTCAACCCACCAGGGTCCTGACCTCCAGGATGTGATCCTCACTGATCCTGGAAATAATCATAATCCCACATTTAGATTTGGCTCCTTTTTCTTGCATTTTAGCTGAAAACACTTGACGTGTGAAGAGTTTTCAGACTCACGGACCTGTTCTGAGGATATTAAACGAGGAACCTGAAGTGCATCTCAAACACAGTGTGCAGAGTTTGTGAATAGACGCGATCCTCTGGAGGCAGGAAGGTTTCACAGCTGCTGTCAGAAACTCTCAGCCAACCCACTAATCCAGTTCAGCACAGCGTCCTCCAGATGAAATGTGGGCTGTTGCCTCAAAGTAAGAACTTCTGACCCATTTACACATCAGCAAACTCACTTTTAGCCTCGTCTGCTGCGAGAAACTCCCGGACTTTTTTCACTTTGACGCTCATGACTCACAACCTCAATTCCCGTCCCCGCTGGTTCACACATATACCGTTTCTGAAATCGGTTGGTCCGTCCGAAGGGAACGCAGGCCGACATCCGCCCCATTTACACCGGGAGCTCAAATCCCAGAGAGGACGCGGAGGATGTTATTTAAAGTCGGGCCTTCACAGGAGGCCGAGCTGTCGGCCCGCTCTGAATTTCAGAAATTAAACGTTGCTGTTTTCAAAAGGTCCCAGAGAGAAACTCACATCTACATCCTGCACGTGTCACTGCGGCCGGACTCGAGGAAACGGATCCTGGTTCCACATCTGAGATCCTCTCGTGAGGAAGAACACCGTGAAAGTTAAAGAGTCGAGTTAGGATGTTACGAGTCGACGTTAAATAAATGTTTGTAAAGATGTTTCTGTCGTTTCAGCTCGTTCTCATCTCGGATGTTTGTTCAAGTTTCTCATCAGTTTGGTTTAATCAGATATTTATGATATAAAAACAGGCGGAGACGTAATGATTGACAGCTCAGACTGACTCAGGATTGGTCAACAACGTGTATGGGCGGGACCTCGATGCCACGGCTCCACCCACTACTGCACAGACTCTGACTTCACGTGGTTCGTATCCGAGTTATTTCTGCTAATTGTTTTACGACGGGAGGAGGACACGTGTCGTCCATCTTTAGTCTGAACATCAGTCCTGCAGCACGCCACCTTCAGGACAAGTCGTGTCTTCATGTCTCAGCCACAAGCTGCTGCTGCTCCAGAGGTGAGACACAATCATGATTTCACACACACACACACATTATTTGATTTGTTTCTGTAAGTTTCATGACATCTTGTGAATCAGGTTTATTATGATGATGATGATGATGATGATCAGAGTGGGAGGAGCAGCCTCATCACGTGTGAATGGAAACAACATGGACGACGCCTCTCTTTTCATGTCTGACGACTTTTAACAGAACCCGGATGGAACAAAGAAAAGCCAAAGCTTCTGGGTAATGTAGTTCTTCTGTGAAGCTGTTTTCCTCTGATTGTATTAATCCACGTTCATGTGGTGGAAATGGAAATAAAATCTGTTCTGACTCGGACCCCCGCTGGTCCCAGACCCACAGGTTGACCCCCACTGAGCGGAACCACGTGACGCTATTCATTAAAATCTGATGTGACTCAGATCACGTGATGAAATAAATCAAAAAGACGAGAAGAGTCCAGATCCCGCGGGATTTCATCTCTCAGGCTTCTTCCCATTTTAATGAGCTGCTCCTGTTTCTACAGGAGATGATTAACTCTGGATTTCTCCTGTTTCATCTCCAGGAGTTATTCTCCTTCACTAATACTAATACTGCTAACAATACTACTAACTACTAGCAACACTCATACTAATACTGAAGCTACTGCTTTATCAAACTGCTTTTACTTTTAATTCTAAAATAAAATCGAATATTTGATTTTTGTTGCATTATTTGTAATTCCTCAGTTTTTTAATAATAATTTGCATATTTCGAATAAAATGCAAATGTTGAGATTTTAAAATGAGCATAACATCAAAACACATTAATGTAAATGAGTTTTCCTGTATTTATAATAATGTTCATTCACTCACAGTACTTCTGGATATATATTTATATTTATATACAGCCCGGTATTATTAGCTGTAAAAAGGCCTTTATGAAATAAGAGTGTGAGCTTCCTGCGGCCTCACGGTTTATTATAAAGATCATTTCACATTATTAATATATTAATATATAAATATTACATATTTCAAGGCTCCTTCTCAAACATTGAATTTCTTTAGATGTCATCAGGTGAGTCACTGTATTTTAAACGTCTCCAGGTTCAACGTTAGAATTATTTTTCAATTAATATTTTAAAATCGAGATGGTTTTTTTCCGGAGCTCCTCAGGAACAGTCGCGTTCACGTGTCATCACATCCATATTAATGTAGGAACTCGCCGGGAGCGCGCGTCCCCTCGGGAGCCAGCGGCACGCAAACTGCGGCTCCGGTGAAAAACGCGCATCACGCACATCACGCGCATCAGCTTCATCCAAACTCAACGAAAAGACGCGGACACGATTTTACTGTCGCAGGAAATTCACTGAAATAAAACACCGAGAAACCGCGAGGCCGCAAAGTCTCAGAGAAACACGCGCAAATCAAATATTCTAACAATGTCACACACACACACACACACACACACACACACACACACACACACACACACACACACACACACGTGAATTACATGTAAAGAAAAGCCTGAATAATTAGAACAAGGCTGATAAATAGTGACTTTAGAAAATAAAAGCCTGGAGATGATTTATAGAATGAAATATAGAATGAGCCTTTAAATGTCTTTGACTCCTGCAGCTTCAGAACGAGCTCAGGTTCCATCAAATCAACAAGAATCATCTGGTGGAAAGTCTTCTGCATTAATATAGATTTGTTATTTCAAGACAATAAAAAACAGGAATATTAGAGATATTCAACATCAGCTGCTCTTTCCTTTATCGATCTGTAAAACACATTCATGCTGCTGTTGAAAAGTTCCTCCTGCAGCATGAAGACAAGACGAGGCCCAACCTCGTGGTATAAAGAGTTTTAGTACCACAACACTAAAAACTACAGCTTTCTGTGTATTTGTCTTTTTTAATGATGTTTCTCCTGCAAGATGGAAACAAGGAGAATTGTGGGATGTGTTTAAAATGCAGGAATCTTACAGGACTGGTTGGTTTTGTTTCCTCCTGCAGAGTGAAGAGCATTTTGATGTGATGTTTCCTGAACTGAACAAACACCTTCTACATCTGGACCATCTCCTCCTCCTCCTCCTCCTCCTCCTCCTCAGAATCGATATAGACTGAGTGCTGAGACGTGTGGCAGCTCAGGGACTCTTCCTCATTAATAATGAATCTACTCCAAACCCCACTCTGCGTGTGTGTGTGTGTGTGTGTGTGTGTGTGTGTGTGTGTGTGTGTAATAAGAATCCATCACCTTGAAAGCAACAAACCGAACTCATCACAGAAAACCACAGTTTTATCTCCTGATCAAAACGACAACACACACTTCTTTTCAAACATTTGTCATTTTATTTATTGAATCTTTATCATTTGAGCAATCTTTTATATTTCTTTTAAATATCTCAGTAGGTTTATAATTCGTATCAATCTCGTGTTAAAACTGTCTGGGATACTATTTATAATAGAACTCTTTTATTTTCTCAAAATCCCTTTGATACACATATTCTCTTATTTAGATGATTTTTGGAATAAGTCCTTTTTTTAAACGTCGTTACGCGACATCCCCATAAACGAACGAAGAGACGAACAGAGAGACGAACAGAAGAACACGTGTCAGAAGGCGGTGAAACTACGCCTGAGCCTCAGCAGAGAAATGAACTCCCTCCTCCATGTTAACGACTGTATGTCCGTGGAACATGTGGTTCTGTTGGGACTCAGCTGTTTCACGTACAGACCTAAAATACATCACCTCTAGAATCGTCTAGTATGAATCACCGCAGATGGAGGGGGGGGGGTGCTCAATGGAAACAGTCGTATCGCTCTTCAGCCACGGTTTTTTATTATATATATACTTTTTATTTGTAGCTACACTGGCCATGAAGTCACTGTGTTGTATTGCTGTCAGCTTTTCAAAATAAAATCTAATTTCTTTCTTTAACCCACAGATTCCTTCATTTCTAACCCATGGATCTGCCGAGCGGGGAGCGAGACAGAGGCATGATGGGAAATCAACCACCAACATGGATAGAGTTCGGTACGATTAAAGAGATTTCAGGAAATGAGCACAAAAACGACTTATTTCCTTCATGAGACATTAAAGTTGAACAGTTTTATGTTTTTCAGTTTGAAATCAGCATCAAAAAGTTAAACCAAACTCTCTCAACTGAAAAGCTCATTTTACGACATGCTAACTTCAGCTAACCTGAGTCTTCAACCGTTTCTCTAACCTGACATCTTAAACAAATGTTTTAACTCAAAACGGTTTCTCTGTAAAACTCAACTATTAGTTAACAGGATTCTACTTTAGCTTCCAAACTGAGCTATCAACTGTTAACACACACGATCTGTGTGATTGAACCACTTTTCTTCTTTTGGCCACTAAACCAAAGTGTTTACAAACCCAACCCGAGCTTTTAGCTAACACAGTACAATCTTATTTAACTGTTAAACTCAACATATGTTTCATCTGCTAACGCAAACTGTCAGCTAGCCTTTAAAACCAAGGTTTCAGCTTCCTTTTAGCTGAAGCTAATCTTTTTAGTCGGACCATATTATTTGGGGAAGTGGAGGATAAATACTTTTAAACCTTCAGTGAAAAACTAAATAAACGTCATCACGAGCGACGATCAACATTTCAGTTTGTGCTCATCTCCTGAAACGTTTGAGCTGAAGCGACTTGATGCAGACGATCAGTGTGAACTGATGATGAACTCTACGTCCTCACAGCTCGGAGCTCGCTGAGGGAAACGATGCTACGGTCACAGCAGGAAGTGGCCGAGCGACGTTTCTCCAGCTGGGTTTGGTTGTAGCCGTCTCAACAACCAAAATTAAAACACTATGCATTTAAAAGCATGCCCCCTGCAGGCTCACAATGAACTGCAAGCCGTGCTGCACAGATCCACGGTCAGTTACCGCTCAGCTGCTTTCGTCAGTGCCACAGATTTACCTGTGCAGCTGGAAACGGACCACCGACTGTGACGACAAACAAATTCAAGTTGCTGCTAAATGTCGCCATGATGAACAGAAGCTTGTGTGACCGTGGCCGGAGCACGACGAGCGGAGAATACAAATGTCACATCGGCATCGAGCCTTCAGTCCGTCCAACCCACCAGCTCAACGGAGCCGGTGCAGTAAAAAAGGAGAAACTGTCCACGATGGAGATGAGGTGACGGCTCTGAAATGGACTGGAGGCCTTGGCTTGTCTTATTGATTTGATGGCGTTAAGCTTGGCCTGGCGTGCACGTGAAGATGTGCCTCGGGCAGGGAACCTAATATACAGCCTGATACTGTGTCAGCACCCCGCAGTCACATGGTGGCGTCGAGGCCGAGCCCACTAAACATCAATAATTCATGGTTGACTCTAACACTGTGTAATTCCACGATTGTAAGTGGCCAAGAATCCATCAAATTTTCATCATTGTCATCAGTTCAGCTCAACGGCTCGTTGAATATTTCATGTCGTCGACCGGGTCAGCGTGTGATTGGATGAGCGCTCCAGGAGGACGAGCTGCCGACGTCCCCGGAAGGCAAACCAGGCCGCCGTGGAGTGATGCAATAATTAAAATCCGTATCGGGCGTAGTTTTCTGGTGATGAATTCAAACTCAGTCCTGGAAGTCGTATTTTTAGTATCAAAGAGTAGCTATCACTCTTTTTCTATTTTCTTTTTTTATTTGGGTTTTTTCCGTTTTTTCTTCTTTTCCCTTGTGTTTTTATTTTTTCCTCGTTTCTGTTAAAACGCCAGCCAAGTCAGTATGGTGGGCAGTGTGGTTAGAACCCAGGCGAGGCCCCTGGCGTCGGCAGATCTGGGGGCTCCGTTGCCGCCGCCACAGAGTTCAAACAAACTCCCACGGAAATCCAGATTGCGGGACTCCTTTTTCAGTTTCTCCCAGAGGTCCGTCGCTCCCTCCTGGCAGTCGGCCAGCGCCGTTGTGGCACAGGAGTGGAAGTTATCCCAGTAACTGGCAGGAGAAAACACAGCAGGCGTTAGCACCACGAGCTCATGACGGCAGTGGGAGGCTGGTTTTAAACTGGATGCAGCAGCTATGAGGAGGCAGAGCCAACAGTGGAAGACATCCCAGAAAACATAGCAAGGGAAAAGCTTATGAAGACACAGACGGTGAAGAAACCATCAACTAAAGCAAAGCTCCAAACATGACTGCACATATATCAAACCAGATATTAGACCCACCCAGAGGCTTTGAGCCAGAACTGAGCGAGGACAAGAGTTTGACTGAGTCTGCGTCTTCTAACAAATGAAACCTTCAGTCAGAGCAGGGAGACAATGGACGTCCCCAACGTCTTCATTTAAATATGAATAAAACTTTGTTAGAGACAAAGAGAAGAAGTAAAATAAAAGTCTGGACTTTAGTTTGAACTTGTGATTTAAAGCGTCCGCTCCACCTCAGATGGTTAAAATATCACGACTGACAATCAATCAGATTCATTGGTTTAACATCTGGAACCAAACTGTTGAGCTCTATTGTTTCCTCCTTCCATCCTGTAGATCTTCACCCTCGTCTTTTCCTTCCTGTTTTATTCTTCTTTTCCACCACACATCCCTTCTTCATCTAAACTCTTCATTTCCTCCTCTCACCCTCGTTTCCTTTCTTCCTCTCCTCCTCATCTTCCCTCCCCTCAGTTCTTTTGAGAGTTTAATGTTTTATTCATTGTCCTCTATTTACTCCTCTTCTCATCTCTCACTTCCTCTTTGCCCTCATTTCTCTTCGCCTCATTTGTTTTCTTAATATTTTTCTATTTTTACATATTTTATTTCTTCTCTTTGTTCTTTGTCTTTTTTTGGCCTCTTCTCTTCCTCTGCATCTTTTCATCTGTCCATCTTTTTCTCCCCTTTCTCTGCCCAGTTAATGTCAGAATGACACCAGGCTGCTCAGTGACGCATGCTGCGACTCACACACACACACACACACACACACACA